CCCCCCCCCGTTTCCTCTCAAAAAGGAGATTCGATTGTAGGAATGATCATTTCCTTCCTCCTCTACCAGGTTTCCCTAAAAATAGTTGGTTTTGCCTGTTGTTGAATTTCGTGCACTATGGGCCTCATGGTGTCTGGTTCTTTCACTTCACACTATGTTTGTGAGCTTCATGTGTTGCTGCATGTCCATTGCCCTGGCTGTTGAGGACTCTGCCTCCATCCTGCCCTGAGGACATTGCCCAACAGCATGGCCTGTCCTTCCCTCTGCCCGCTGCCTGTGTCCATGGCACACACGGGGGTGGAGCTGCCGCTGTGGGAGGCACACGGTCTGCTCTCCTACCTGATTCTGAAGTTCTGTGGTGGCCCCAGCCCATGCCCCCGCAGTGTGTAAACAACCTTGTTGCCCCGTGTCCCCGGGCAGCACTGGGGATGGGGTGGGCAGTGTGAGGAGCGTGGGATCCTGGGAGGGGCCTCCATGGAGTCGGGGGAGAAGGCACCCAGAGATGTCATTTCTTCTGTGGACTCATGAAGACCCAGGTGTGCACGCTGCTTCCTCTCAGGAAGCCACCTGCCCAGGCCCAGCGCACATGGCCTCCCTCCACCCAGTTGTTCTGAAAATGCAGAGCCTGGGAGAAAGGAAACCCCTAGATCCAGCTCAGCCACCCACATCAGGAGTGAGCCATCCCCTTCTCCATGCCTCATTTCTGGGGTGGGGGTGTGTGTCTTGAAGGCGCTGGGACTGGGCACAAGGGGTGCATTATAGGCCGGGTACCATTACAAGCCAGATACCTGGTGCTGTCACAGGCTTGGATGGGCACGTGGGGGTACTGTCAAGGCCCAGGCTGAGCCCAGGAGGCCCTGTCACAGGCCAGACACCAGCACTGCCCCAGGCTCAGGTCAGGCCCAGGAGCTCCGTTCTAGGGAGGCACCTGGCAATAGCGTCACATCGTGCCTGGGTGGGGCCTCGTCAAGACCACACCGGCTCCTTTTATGTGAGCATCCTGATGCTGCCCCAGCTGGGGGAGCCCCAGCCTTGGAGCAGAGGCCCCCCTGACTACCCTGAGTAAACAAACCATGAGTTCTAGAATCCCTGCACGTTGGAGATGCCTGTCCCCATATCCACGATGGGGACCAGCGGCGCCGGGCACCAGCTGTCCATGGCGTGCGGGCTCGGAGACCTTCACGGCCTCTCATCTCCATTATCTTTTGCCAGAATTGGGAACCCACTCATTGTGGAAGGTAGGGCTTTGGGGACATGGCACAGGGGCAGGAAGGAGGGCTTCGGACATGAGACGGGGCAGGAGGGATCTGTGTGCCTGGGTGTCTGTGCTGGCTGTCCTCACGCCCGATGGATGCATCTTCAGCAGACTGCATGGTGTGGCACACCTGGGGACCAGGTAGTGTCCAGGTCATCCTGGTTTGCGGGGCGACATGGACACGAGGGAAGAGCCTTATTAAAAATTGGGGGATGCCCTAGCTGGTTTGACTCAGTGGATAGAGTGTCAGCCTGCGGACTGAAGAGGCCTGGGTTTGATTCCTGGTCAGTTCACAAGCCCAGGTTGCAGGCTCGATCCCCAGCAGGGGGCATGCAGGAGGTAGCCAATCAATGATCCTCTCTCATCATTGATGTTTCTATCTCTCCTCCCTCTCCTTTCCTTCTGAAATCAATAAAAATATTTTTTAAAAAATAAAAAAATAAAAATTGGGGGACAAGCTAATCCGTAGAGCAGATGAGCTTGTCTGGGAGGTGCACTCTAGGTTTGTCAGGATGCGGTGTGTGAATGACGGCTCACCTACAGAAGGCCCTCGTCTGAGGTTGACGTCACACCACTTGGGGAGGTGGGCTTACCAGTACTCCCACCTCACCATCGGAAACCAGGGCCCAGAGAACTTCAGGGACCTGTGGAGCCAGCATCCAATACCAGTTTTCCAGTAGACTCTCTTTTAAAAATGTATTTTATTTTATTGATTTTTAGAGAGAGAGAGGGGAAGAGAGAGATAGAAACATCAGTGATGAGAGAGAAACATCAATCCGCTGCCTCCTGCATGCCCCATGCTGGGGATCGAGCCCGCAACCTGGGCTTGTGCCCTGACCGGGAATCGAACTGTGAACTCCCAGTTCATAGGTCAATGCTCAACCACTGAGCCACACCAGCCGGGTTTTCAGTAGACTCTTTGGGGGTGAAAAGTTTGGGGTCCCATGTGACAGAAGGTCTCTGGGTGCCCACCCAAACTGACCACGTGTGTTCTTGTGGGGCAGCCCTGGCTTGGGTCACCTGGCGGCTCCTGTGTGGTGTGGCAGTGGCTCCTCGTGACGGCCGCAAGGCGGCTCCCCTGCCTCTACAGCCGAGGGCTGCCTTTGCCGCTGTCTACACGGGCCGGGCCGGCGTGGCCCCTTCTCTGTCTCTTTCCTCAGAGCCCTGGTTCTGGGGCTGTGGTCAGACCAACCTGTCCTGCAAGATGGTGAAGGGGAAGCTGGTGGAGGCAGGCAAGTGGCCCTGGCAGGTGAGCATCCTGTTCATGGGCATGTACATCTGCAGTGGCTCCGTCATCCACCACCAGTGGGTCCTCACAGCCGCGCACTGCCTGGAGAGGTCAGTCGGGGGCGGCTGGTCCGGGGCGGGGGGGCCCTGCTGAGGCTGGGGTTCTGGGAGTCGCAGGGTTACTGCTGGAGATCCGCCTCCTACCCACGGCCCTGCAGGTCCCTGGATGCCAGCAAATACTCGGTGATTGTGGGAGCCCAGCACCTCCCAGCAAATGGCACTCAGCTCCCCCTCGTTCGACTGGTGACTCACGAGAATTTCAAGGACCTCATCTCTGATGACATTGCCCTCCTGAAGCTCAAGGACCCCATCCTCTGGTCCCCCCTTGTCCAGCCCATCTGCCTCCCGACCACCAAGCTCGTGCCACCTATTGGAGCCTCATGCTGGGCCATTGTGTGGGGACGGCCATCCGTGAAAGGTGAGTGGAGGCAGTTTCCAAAACACGTGCCTCTTAGAACACGTCACCACGGGCCCTCCGTCCCCCTTCCTCCCCTCC